GCTTTATGGCTTTTTGTTGTTGTTGCTTTGGGAAGCAACTCTCAAGTTCTTAAAGAGCAAAGTCATTGCTGTATACTTATATGTATTAGTCCAGTTATTAACAGAAATTATCATCACCAAGCGTCTAGCAAAAAGACTGAAACATGCTTTTTGATCAGTGAGTTTAAAAGCACTTAATAGAATCCCATTCTCTTGTGCCAGTCTCCCAAGAACCTGTGACCTTCAGACTTTTACAATGGCTTTTCCAAGATTTTCTCCCTTTAACATTCCAATGAAAGCTGCTGGCATGTTCTCAAATCCTTCAGTGACTTGTTCATGGCACTTCACTTTTCCCTGTCAAAAGGAAGAAAGGAAATTGCCGAGTTTTCATTCACCAGCTGCCTAGTTTTTACCATTTTCCCCCTGTACTCAGCACTGGTGAGGCCGCCCCTCGAATGCTGCGTTCAGTTTTGGGCCCCTCACTACAAGAAGGGCATTGAGGGGCTGCAGCGTGTCCAGAGAAGGGCAACAAAGCTGGTGAGGGGTCTGGAGCCCAAGGCTGATGAGGAGCGGCTGAGGGAACTGGGGGTGTTCAGCCTGGAGAAGAGGAGGCTGCGGGGAGACCTTATCACCCTTTACAACTGCCTGACAAGGAGGGGGGAGCCAGGTGGGGGTCCGTCTTTGCTCCCAAGGAACGGGCTATAGGAGGAGAGGAAATGGCCTCAAGTTGCATCAGGGGAGGTTTGGATTAGACATTAGGAAAAATTTCTTCACAGAAAGAGTTGTTAAGCACTGGAATGGGCTGCCCAGGGAGGTGGTCAAGTGCCCACCCCTGGAGGTATTTAAAAGCCGGGCAGACGAGGTGCTTAGGGACATGGTTTAGTGGTGGAATGGCAGGGTTAGGTTAGCGGTTGGACTTGATGATCTTAAAGGTCTTTCTTTTCCAACCTAAATGATTCTGAGTCTATGATCTCTGGGAGATGCAATCGCAAACAAATTTTCTCCAGCTTATATGTTTCATCTGAAACATGCAAGCTGGCACTCATCAGGGTAACTTTGCAAAACTGGGTAGGCTGTTGGGACGATCTGCTTTTGTTGCAAGACCTTCTACTTGGAGTCGTAACAGGGAGCAAAAGTCACTGCTACAAAAACACACCAGGACTGATTTAGTGCTACTTGGTCCCCAAACAATGGACAGGTAGAGGATTACTTCCCCAAATCCAGGCCTGTCTCTACCCATAAGGAAGTAGGGAATTGCAGATCCAAGTGATCAAAAGCTGAGCAATCACAAATCCTCATGTTTGTAAAAGCTAGAGCCTCTTAGCCTTTGGTATTCACGCTCAGAAGCTTTTCACAGCCATCAACCAAGTGTTAAACTCAGCTTCTATTTAGGAAAATAAAATTTAAGAAATTCCCTATTAAGATCCTTCAAAATCCAGCTCCCTATTCCAGGAAAACATCAATTCCTGCTAGTAATTTCAACACAGCACTACAATGGAAATCCTTGCTCATACTACAAATGAAAGGAGACTTCTGAATGAGAAATAGAAGAATCACTCTAAATATGAAACACTTAATTGCCAGAGAAGTGTTTTGAACTACTCTGGAAGGATCCTTTTTCAAAGCCTACATGTATTCTGGAATATATAGAAGTCAATAAGCTAGTATCAGAGGTCTCAAGAAAGCAGAAGGGATCAGGCATGTTTGCTGTGGTTTCAGTGTCCCCAAAAGGCTCAAAGATCAAGTCGGGTGGAAGAAAAGTATCACACTGGTACCTCACCTCAACAGCTATAAGAGACCTCCTTGGAAAGAGGGAAGCTATGGTGTGAGTACACCTTACGGAAAACTACCCCTTCCTTTCTTACCTCCACAACCCATTTTAGCAGTGCCTTCAGAGCTTCCTTCCGGCGGTTATTCCAGCGGGTCACAATAAACCCTTCCATTCGAAGCTCTTTGAAGATCATTGGAACCTGCAGGTAAGGCCCTGCAAGAGAAAGGAACCAGCAAACCACCTGCAACATCAGTTTCATTTAAAATACGACCCAATGCCTAAAGAGAGCTTTTAGCCAGTAAAGACCGCTGAATCACTTTGTTCCAGACAGAAGCAACTGCTATTTTTTCCAAACAGAATTTCTAGGACAAAAGACCAAGGATTCATGGACAGACAGCCACCCAGTGAAAGCTGTGTGTCTAAACACCCAACACTTCCAAAAACAGTTTCATCCAGAAGTAAAGTGGCCTTGGCTTCAGCTGATGGGTTTCAGCTGAATCCTGGAAAAACTGTTTTGACAGATTGTTTGATAGCCTGCCAAGCTCTCATGCTCTTCCTAAATCTCAGAAAAGTTACACACATTAAAAAACAGTTCCCTCAATCATAAAAATGTGTGATAGTCTCCTGTCCTGGTTTTGGCTGGGATACAATTAATTTTCTTGCTAGTAGCTGGCATAGTGCTGTGGTTTGGATCTAGTACTGGAAGAATGTTGATAACACCCGGACGGTTTAGTTGTTGCTGAGCAGGGCTTACACCAGTCACGCACTTTTCAGCTTCCCCTGCTCTGCTAGGTGCACAAGAAGCTGGGAGGGGGCACAGCCAGGACAGCTGACCCCAGCTGATCAAAGGGGTATTCCAGACCATATGGTGTCGTGCTCAGTATGTAAACTGGGGGGGAGTTCACTGGGGGCTGCTCAGGAACAGGCTGGTTGTGAGCAGTTGCATTGTGCATCACTTGCTTTGTATTTATTTCTTTTTTTTTTCTCTTCCTTTGCTGTTCTATCAAACCATCTTTATCTCAACCCATGGGTTTTACTTTCTTTTTTCCCCCTGATTTTGGCCCCCATCCTGGCAGCGGGGCAGGGTTCGCAGTACTTAGTTGCTGACTGGGGTTAAACCACTCTCAAAAGCCTGCCCCATTTTTAAAGTAATCTGGGAGTCCAAAGCCAGTCAGTTGTCAAAGAGAATTCAGACCTCCCATTTCTTCTAAAACACAAATTTTGAAAACTTAATGCTATTGAAGGTGAATATTCATCTCAGCCACATTTCCCAGCAGTTTCACCAGTAGCTGAAATCTTATGGAAAAAAACCCCTAAGCTGCCTCATCTAAAAACCTGAGGGGAATCCACTCTCTCATCTACAAGTACATACTGTGTAAATGGCATGCCACCACACCTGCCTTCTACTGATCTGTATCTGCTTATAGCCTCGGGGAATCCTGTTTTAAGGAGTTTAGTCTCTCCTTCAATTTCTAATCAGCTGTTGTTCTCCACCCAGTACAAGTGTGCACAAGGGGACATGAGTGCATGTATGCACAAGGAGCGTGGCCACGCTCCCACTGTCCCAGAGCAGTGGTTAGTTACCCGAATGTACACACATACATACACACAAATGGCATATGGAAACAAACAATAAAATCTCAAGAGAATCCCATTATGTCTTTCTCTCTGTCATCATCAAGCAGGAAATAAACTTAGACACAAGAAAGCAGGCCCACACCTTGCTGAGGCACAGAGTCATTGTACTGAGAGATGGCTCCACAGACTGCAATCCTTCCATATTTTTTCATCTGGTTGATAGCAATACTGGCAAATTCTCCACCCACCTACAAGAACCAGAGCACGTGCAGCATTAGAGATGATCCAGTGTTTGGCATTGACTGCCAAAACCTGACAACCTTGCACTGTTGCATCAACAGGTTCCATCAAGGTGTGGAGAGGTGAGTTGCTGCAGAAACCCTTACACTTAGACAACACCTGTGAGGACTCAATGTAACTCTCCTAAAAATTAGTTATGAGCACAGGGAATTGGTTTTAATTCTGAATCTGCTTCACAAAGCTTGGTTTGGAAGCATTGGGCAGGACTTGCCCTTAGATCCCTCCTCCTAAGGGGCATGTATAGGGGCACTAAGAAGCACCACCTCTGCTTTTCTCGCACACCAGTCTGCGCTTTTATCTCTTCACATTATGGCTGATGACAAGCTTTTACTTCATGATCCTCTTCTCCCAAATAGGGATGTGCTGTACTTGGAAGTTTTTAATGGAGAAAAGCTATGAGAAAACTTACTTCTGGGGAGAGCTCTGCACAAAAGTTGGAGGTGAGAGGGAAGGGAATGGACATGACCTGTTTAAGGCCTTAGCAGCACAGGCCATGAAACTTGGAAGGGTGACACAAGGCAACCAGGAACTCCTGCCACACGGGCAAGCACTTTTCCCTGGCACCATGCATTCACATTGATTGCCAGGGCAAGGTGCATGAATTGCAATCCACACAGCACCATCATCCCTGGATCTGGAGATGGACTGCTGAGAGAAAGACATGCTAAAGGGGTGATGATGGCTGCCCTTTAAACCAGGTAGCTAGCCAAGGAGTTTTAGGCCAATATGTCAGCTAACACCCCTGTGCCGGGTATCATATTATCAGGTATAATGCATACATTAGCTATACTTGGAAATTAAAAAAGCCAGGGCTTGCTCAAGCCAAGTCACCTTGGCTTGAAGGTGACTTGACATGGTTTGACTGCATCTGTTACTGTTAAAACTCTCTTAGCCTCCAAAACAAGATGGTCACATTCAAACAGCCTATCGAGAACTGTCATCAGCCCCTATTAACTCCAGATGTACCTGGGAAGGTCAGAAACCCTCTACGGGCCACTCTGGCAATTTTACATGTGGGCCTTGCAACTGTTTTGTTTACAGGCACCAGTGTAGCCACCTGGACCATGTAATGTGGGGCTGTCCCTGCTTGCTCCCCTTCCAGCAACAGCAGAGAACTGCCTGTGGTCCAAGGTGGAGCCAGGAATGGACCGGAGCTCTCTCTGTTCAGCACCAGTTAAATGTTCACTGTGATCCTCACCTCCCCAAAATGTGCTGTACTTTCCAAAGAGAAAGCTTTTCTCTCTCACCATTCACAAACACTGCCAACAACCCAGCTTTGCCTTTTGGTCTTTGTTCTTACTGTTACTGCCCAAGTCAGCCTCAGAAATAAGCATAGGAAGGGAACAGGAAAGCAACAAGCTCTTATGGAGACAATTTCTCAATTGGATGGAATTCAATACTGAGTTCCTGGTGTAGTCTTCAATTAGATGTATACAATATTGAGTTCCTGCTATAGTTTAAGGAAAATTACAGTCTGCTCAGGGTAAGGTCCTCTCTCTGAACTCACATTGTCAAAGAAACAGTCATAGCCATCAGGAGAGGCTTTACGCAGTGCTTCATCCAAAGATGTAACAGTCTTGTAATTAAAGGCTTCATCAAAGCCTATTTTTTTCAGATAGGCAACCTTGTCATCTGAGCCAGCACAGCCAACCACTTTGCAACCCTGCAAGGAAAGGAGAAAAACATTTCTAAACAACCCCTCACAACACAGGCTGACACTCACAGAGTGCTGGGTAGAAGGCTCACCCTTAAAGTCAGGCTGTCATCACCATATGAGTTCCTGAGCTCTAGGAAACATTCAACTAGCTTTGCTACATCTTCAGGAGCTTGTCCCATCTCAGGACCTTACTGCAGGCATGCCTTCAGGGATGCTTGCCCTCCTGATCACTCATGGCTTTGTTCCCCCATCTCCCAGGTAAGCCTGAGGAGCAAGTATGAGCAGTTCAAGCCACTCACCCCAATTTTAGCAAGCTGCCCCACCACAGAGCCCACTGCACCAGCAGCAGCATTAACCAGCACCGTCTCTCCTGGCTTCACCTTGCAGACCTCCAGCAGACCAAAATACGCAGTGACGCTGTGAAGAGAAAGAACGAATGCTCAGTGAGGAATAAAAGACACTAGACACAGAGATGTGACTTGACCACATTGAACCAAAGTATCGTCACAACCTGTAGAAGATTCAGTTTTCCTCATTCTTTACAAAATACAAAAATTAACCCAAGCTTCCTAATTTGGCTTTTTTAAAGCCATCCCAGAAAAAAAACAGATACACTACTGGGAAACAGGATGCTGTGGCAGAAATCTGCCTTAGGTGAAACCAGCTTCCTTGTGCTCGCTAGGCAAAAGGAGAAACACAGAGAGAACTCTGTGACAACCCAGTTACACACTGGAAGAGAAAGTAAATCCAAGCTAGACAGAGGTCAGTAGACAGTGATATCTACCAGACTGAGACAAAGATTAAACAATACTCATCACAAATCAAAGCTGGCAGAAAAAGCAAAAATGGTGGCAAAACCTTGCTGAATTGATGGGCACACTGCTGCTGAGGACTACTGGATGAATAGTGATCTGTAGGAACCACTGAAGTTTAGCTCAAACATGTGCCACTGATCATATAAATACTGATTGACATCAGGCTCTGCAAGCTTCTTGAAGCAATGTGATCAACTGACCCAGAATCCCAACAAACTTTTCTTCTAACTTCTAAATTCAAGCTTAGAGCTTCCCACTGGGTCCAAACTGAAAGGCTGAACTGAATCCACCTAACAGCTGTCTGAAAAAACATGCATTTTGCCTGATGTCAAAACGAGATCTGTGAAGTTCTGCATCACACACAATGTAACAATCATTTTCAAAGCCTTCTGTGTCAACAGCACTGATCCAAGTCCTGGTTTCCCATACAAACTTGATTTCTGGTACAAACTACAGAGAAAGAGAGAAGAAATATGAAAAGATGACTGAGAGACTGCAGTAGTGAATACAGATTCTGAAGCACAGCAGCTCTGTCTGCTGCAGTGCAATTTAAAGGACCTCTATTTTGCTGCACAATACAACAGCTGTCTTTGGCCATTTTGGGGGCAATTCTGGAAATACAGTGATAGCAGAAGAGCCCAGTCAGCAAAAGCAGACTAGTTCAGGTGCCAGTGAAGTTTGAGTCTTTCCACTGAGGTTAACTCAGACTGAACTGGATTCTTTCCAGTCCCTCTTGGATCCTCTTCCTATCTTACTACAACTCCTCAAGGAGAAGCACCATAACCTCCAAGGCAAATCTCCTCCAGCCTAGAGGATGGGCCAAACTTCAGGCCTTCTACAAGGTATGGGCATCTGGAAGCACTATTTTACTAGAGTGAGCAGACAACATATTGGTAGAACAAGATGAAAGAAGAAGGTCATACAGATAGGCAGAAACATCCTGCACAACAAAATCCAGGGGACAGCTGCCTTTGGCTCCCTAAACTCACCCTGGCATGCCAACCGTCCCAAGAGCCAGAGATTTAGGGAGTGATTCTGGCCAGCTGGAAGGAAGGAGTTGTAGATCTTTCCCATCAGAGATGAAATGAGTTCTCCAGCCACTGCTAGCCACGACAAAGGTCCCCACTGTGAAAGCAGGGTTCTTGCTTTCTAGAATCCTGTTTAAAAGAAGGAAAAAAAAAATACCCTGTCAGAGACAAATTATTACTGGCTCTTCCATCCTTTACTCCTGTTGCCCTGTGATGCAGGAGAAAAGAACTATTTCATGTGAGGACATTTAGCCCATACCTGCTGATGCTGTAGGCTTCTGATGTCTTTCCTGAAATGTCTATAATCTCTCATCAGCAGGGAGATACTGGGCAAGATGACTCTAAACTCAGCCCTATTCACAACACATCCAATGTTCCCACACGGATGCCGACTTTTTTTTGACTACTACCACTCTGGTATGTATTCAAACTAGCCTTCTGTGAGTTAGAAGGCAGGAAAGAGGATACTGGCATTAAAGGGTGGAAAAACAAGAAGTCACAGATAGGCTGTAATAGGAAGTTCCCTTCTCAGACAACCTGCACCTCATTTAAAGGCCAAAGATCCTGAAGATAGAACCTCTTGGGGTAACAAAACCAGACAGAAAGCAGTATCTAGTAACAGGGAGTTGTTCATAGTTGTGGTGTCTCTGTGCCACATGAAAATTCAACGTTCTTAGCCCCATGGGAAAACTATGTTGCGAAGGGGTAGGTAAGCAGCTTTCAAATATTGGAAACAGTTGGCCTTCTGTTCAGCAGACTTGGTTGTTAATTTACGCCAGCCCTCAGTGTTCCTTCAGAGAAACACAAGACAAAGGCCACAGATGTTCCTGCGCAGCAACTTAGAGGCAGCACAGCAGGAACAAGCTGACAAAGGAAACATCTGTGTAGCTAAATTACCACAAGCTTGGGAAAGGATGGATTTAAGGTTAGATAACCCTTTGGCTATAGCTGTATCTTAGGTGATGCTGTGGTATTCTCAGCTGGAGTAGACAGCATGCATTGGTTTCATGCATGCAATTGCTAGCACAGCTGACTTTAAAGCATGAAGTTGACACTTATGGCGAATACGGTGGTCAGTCCTTCATACCTCTGCTTGTAAAAATTTCCTTGGAAAACGTTATCACCATAAATAACATACGGATTGTATGAGAGGCCTAAATGCTCTCCAAGGAGACAAAAGAGGAGAAAAAGAAGTTAAAAGAAAAACACATTCCAACCAGTTACAGATAAGAATACAGTTGCAGAAGTATGCAGACTCATGTCAGGAATAGGCAATGCAAGTCAGTACATTGCTTTGAGATTTGCCGCATGTATGGATAACAAGAACTGAAGATCTTACCTGGCAACCTGTGTGCCTATCATTATGTCCCCTTCCTTCATGTCCCTTTGACTGTACGGTCTGTAACACAGACAGAAGATGGCTTTCCATTAGCAACTGTAATGATGTTCCAGATGTGCTATGAAGCAGTAGCTACTGTCTGACCCAGAAAAAGAGCATAAGCAGTGACGTTGAACAGATCACAAAGACCTTGTCATTGTAATGACATAACTTGATGTTTTCCATAGCCCACTACATGAGCATCCCATCTTGACTGAATACTGGGCTAGAGTGTTGGGCACACAATAGCATTAATCTTCCCAGCATGGTCTACCACTACAAGAAGGCTGAGACTCCAAAGTACTCTCTGACACTACAGTCCGCCAGACTTCTTCAAACTACCTGGTCTCCCTGTTCTTGAACTACCACCTATTAACAAGGGCACATCAGCAATTTCTTACTTAGAATATGGATCCTTAAGTACAAGGTTGCTAAGATAAGTGAAGCAGCTACTGCAACAGGGCTGCAGTCTCATTTGAGCCCGTTGCATTCCAGTGGAAGAGATGTGACAGGGAACAACAGCAGAGTCCAAGAGAAGTCTAGGGCTGCAACATCATTATCTTGATGTCTGGCTAAATCTGGCACAGCTCTATATTGGAAGTCTTGTAATTTACACACATTTTGTAAAAAGCAGACAAAGGCATCTGGATCTCTGGCAAAAGGGGATGCTCCCACTACATGTCCTTTTGAGGTTTAAGTGGGAGATCAGATGAATTAGCCAGCAATTAAAAAAGAAAGAAAAAGATGTACCTCATGTAAGGATCAACACTGAGAAACACCGATTCAAGCAGCAACTCTGCAAGAAAAGACAAAGCAAATTCCCAGACATTAGCAGTGCAGTAAAGCATAGTTTTCACAAGTCAGTCTTGCAACAAAAGCCATAGGAATTTCTCAAAACCCCCATATCTCATCATCCTTTAGGGAAAAACTACAAGAAATGACTACTACATTCATTAGCTTTGTCTGGATTATCGCTGTGCTGTCAAAAAAGACACTTTCTGTTGTGCCTTTTTAGCAGGCTAGTTTCTTTTCAACCCTGCTCTTCTTTATCTGCCTCCTCTTTCTACAGAAGGCTCAAGAGGTCAGACCCCCTAAGCAGAACACTAACTTACTTTCGACCCAGACATAAAATGCCTTCCCACGATTCAGTCAGCAGAGGGTGGTAAGAAACCTTGGCACAGGTAATAAACACTACTCTGCTACCTTAAACACAAAGGATTAGGCTGTCTTTTCTAGGTAGCCTAATTCACCTTACTGTTTGTAATGCCACTAGTTCTTGTGAAATATACTGTTAAACAAATTTTAGTTTAAATTCCTATTCACACAGTGGTTTTAGCTGTTAATATCCACCCAATAATAATTTTCATTGCCTGTGCTGCAGTGGTCTAGCTAGTACAAGCCAGAAATATATTCAGATATAAATATTTTCCATTACTCAGAGTGAGCAGAAAGAATAGTCAAGGCCATGTAACATAACAAGAAAGGTCATCTCCTTTAAAGGTGTTACTCTAGTACGAAGTTATGCCTCTTCTTGCTGTAGGGATTAAAATGTGAAGGAAGAAATGAACCTTTAAATCGTTAAATATAACTAGTACTTTAATGCAATTTCTTTGGCACACCTTCTAAACTGGAGTAAATTTTGTAAAGGACATACCACTTCAGCAATTTTCTCCAGTAAGCTTCATTTGCAAACACATTCGAATGCCTTTGCCATCAGGCACCACATGTGATTAGACAGCATGAGACTGTGAAAGGCATGCTGCAGCTGTTGCACACCGGAGTTAGAAGAGCTCAGCCACTGTTTCTAAGGGTATTATCAGAAGGCAACACAGCTTAAAACTCACCAAATCCATCAGCATACATGTTCTTGAGCAATCGCCCTTCTCTGCTACGGTGCATGGCTTGCCACAAGCCGTGCCAACCCATTTTTGAAAATCCAAGCCAGAGAAACATACAAACAGTTCTGCAGATTCACAGCCATTTGTCAGCAACCAGAAAACCTCCAGAAAATATAAAAACAGGTAGCACTCCACTTACCTCCATCCTTTAGTTCTGGCAGCTCTATCTTTTTCAGGTCGAAGTCGCTGGTTTTGGGGAAACCCTCAAAGTGCTTCTTCAGAACCCACACCTTGGCAGTCACCATCCTGTGCAACAAGCAGCACAGCCAAAGAGCGCCTTGTCAGAGATGCCCAACTGTGCTGGGTTGATCATGGGACTGTTTTAGACTTCACAAAATGGAAAAGTATCTTGATAACATGCTGTCACACAAGATGGCCTCTGCCTGCATCCTGTAGCAATATGGCTGGATCAAGAAAATGCCTGAAAAGCCCCATCATTGCCTAAGCAGCCCAGGCCTTCCCGCGACCTGCTGGACCTCCCTGCCTGCTGGCAGCAAGCCCTGGTATGGGAAGCCAGCCCCAGCAGGACCACAGGGCTCCCTCTCCAAAGCAATTGAAAAGGGAAAATCTACCAGTTTAAGGAGGAAAAAAATCTTGGAAGTAAAAAAAACCTCCAACTCGCTTAAGCTCACTCTTTTGACCCAATTACATGATGTGAGTACTGAACCTAAACTTTTATAAGCTTGAACCCAAGTGCAAGTGATACCTTAAGGGTCAAAAGACCCCCAGATGTAAGCGGCTTATATGCATAAGATTTAGGCCTTATTGTCTAATTTGCTGTTGCTTTGCTAAAATCAGTAGTGTCTAGTTTGGATGTTTTTCTAAAGTAAGTAGTGTCTAGTTTGGATGTTTCTCTGAAGTCTGTAGTATAGTTACTTAGTAAATTTAGAACCCTATTCAAGGACGGGAAGAATCGGGAGGGGATGAAGCAAAAGGATAATAACGGTTTGCCAAGGTTGCTAGACTAGAAGGAACGAGA